CAAAATCAATTATTTAATCGATTGTTATACCGATAACAATATCCATTATTGTATCGATAACAATATCGATTATTTTATTGATTATTATATCGACTACAATAGCGGTTATTTAATTAATAACAGCATCGATAACAATATCGATTATTTTATCGATAGCAATATCGATCATTATATCGATAAGAATATCGAGTTTTATATCGATAACAATATCGATCTTCATCCTCATCCTTTTCTTCATATTTATCTTTATTTTTGCATATTCCTCTTCACCTTTACCTTAAAGTGTTTAAATTTACTTTGATCTTCGTTTTTGCCTGTACCTCTTGGCATCTTTGTTTTTGTTTTTATTCTCAAACCGGTAAACCGCTGAGAACCATTTCCATGTGCATTATTCCCCTCGAATTTGACGATTTACTCCCAACCAACTGCCGCTAAAGAAGTTTCATTTCATAAATTCAAGAAATGTTCTTACCCTTTCAGTTACCCTAATTCTTATGTATCTGTCATTGTCTCCATTTTCGTCTTTATCTTCACTTTTGCCTTCTTTTTTATTTCTTCATCTTCATATTTATCTTTATTTCAAAGCTTAATTTCAAATGTGTAGTGAAACAACAGGCGAAACATGTCAAATCGAACATGTTGCAGCAACATCTATACACAATTCGAAAATGTTTAAACGACGGTTTTGGCCGTAATTTTCAGCCAATTGTGAAACCATAAAAACTCTGCTCAACTACGGAAAAATGCCTTTCCAATGGTGTTCTTGGTTTTGAAATCGGTTCGGTAGAATCGCCAAACGAACGGAGACAAAATTTATGTTAGCGTATTAATATATAGATTATAATCAAAAGAAAGATAATCGATTTACCCTTCTTTTGATATATATTAACAGTTGCAAATCATTTACAGTAGTTCCCAAAAATTAAGTTTTCTTACAACTTTGCAAAATTTTACACTTTGAAGGTGCTCCTGGCGTTGAAGGTTCTGAGGGCGGAAGGTACTGATGCTACTCCTGGCAATGAAGGAGCTGAGGGCAGAAGGTACTGGTGGTGTTCCTGGCGATGAAGAAGCTGATGGCAGAAGGTTCTGATGGTGCTCCTGGCGATG